TCATGCGGAATACCTGGACATTTCTGATACAGCTGTAATTTTACTGCATTTCGCGCGTTTTTTTCGCGCGTAATTCTTGTACAAACATCTTTACTTTGGTAAAACGGTAAAAACTCTAGGCACAAAATTTATGAACTTAATTTTGCGTACAAATAACGTAAAATTAAATAAGATTGATAGTACGTGATGCTTTGAAATAAATAAGGTAAAATTAAACGATGATAATTTTTTTTTTAGATTTAATGACCATTTTCAAAAGTATAGTAACATTACAAAAAATCATTTATTTGATTATATCATCATTGACTTATTAACATTAAAGTGGAATATTTATTTTAGTAATTTATAAAATTCGGAGAATAAAATTTTCTGAGTGTAATGAAGGGGAAAAAAAGATAAAATAAAATCTAGAAGCACTCAGATTTTATATTGCGCCCAAAAGGAACCTTTTTTAAACGTTTTGTGTGTTACCTATATTTATTGAATATCATGTTCTTCGTCCATAAACCACATATGCATTTGAAAACAGCATATCTGGAGATAAAACTGTTATTTTCCGTACAGTGCTTGCTCGCTCTAAACTCGTTGAGTTTGTTAATCAAAAATTCGTTAAAGTTTTACACAATATGAAATAGATTAAAACAAATTCGAAATTCAGCCGTCCAGGTGCCCATGTTCGGTTGGAGGATTACATTATTCAAAACTCGATGGCTCTAGATACTGTCGTTTTTGTCACAATGCGAGAAACATACATGTATTCATGCAGATTCTTCATTATTTAATTTCTTTAAATATAATACAGGGCGATAATATTTGGTAACAACAATTTGCAAGGAGACACGGACATTTATAGTAAAACAGCGCAAAATGCCGCTTCGAAATTAACAGCCTTTCGGCTAATAAATTAAATTAACTGTAAATAAAAAAAAAATCTTGTGCAGAATTAAAGGTTAAAATTTCATAATCGGGGTGAGCGCCAAGCTTGGCGAGAGTTTTTTATTTGACGCGATTTAAATTTGGTTGTGGTTTCCGGCTGTGTGTTTTCTTGTGGCAAACCTAGAGCTTTATTTCCGTAACTAAGAGCGCGAATTTAGTGAAGCCAGATTTTTTTTTTTAAATTTAATTTTGAAATACTCTGTTTGTTTTTAAAAGTTTTAGTGTTTAATATTATTGTTATATATATGTTTAATATTATATTTATCTAAATATTTGCAGAAGGTTAAGCTGTTGTTGGTGGGAGAATGTTGGATTTCATATGACATGAAGTTTATAATTTATGAATGCTTTGATTTAATTTTATTTAGTTAATTTTTTGTTTTGTTTTGTTTCTTGCATGTGGCAATCGAAAGATGTGGAATATTTAAAGCTTTGAACGAAAGTTGTTTAGTGTGTTGAATTCCACGACGATAGTAACATGAATATTTTAGTTAGTTTATGATGCTGATTACGCATAATTTGCTATTCTGTTTACGTTTAAAACTGACTTCGCAGTGCTCTGATCTGATAAGTGTATACATTTATTTACTCAATAATTATTTACAGTAATTGTTCATTCTACTATATTATGATGAATTACATATATATAATGACTATGCTTTTACTTGCAAAGCTGTTGGACTTTTACTTATGTAGTATTTTATCATCTCATTTTACTATTCTGTTACATAAAATAACGGTGTTTCACTACTGCAAAACTTAAAAGTTACTATTCTGTTTACGTTTAAAAATCACATTTTGGTGCTTTCATTTAGTGCGCCTAAAAAACTTCGCCAAATTTTGAAGGCCAAAATAGTTTGGCGCCAACTTACCCCGCTTATGGAATTTTAGCCGAGCTAAAAATAAATTAAACAATTAATCACTATAAAATACAAGCGAAATTAATTATTACGGTTAAATACAATTTTAATATTAGAATTAAATGTATAAAAATTTTAGGAGTCAAAAGTGTTTATCACTATGATGTATTATGAAACATAATTGAAATAAAATCCTTATAGAAATTGTGCTATACTCATCTATAATTTTAAAAAAGCAGCACAATTTAGAATTTTAAACAAAACTTTCAAAAATTCGTTTTTAAATATTTTAGTATTTTTTACGGTGCTACTTTGGTAGACGGTTGCACGGATTTTTGGCGATTTACGTTGGCGCAATTGTTGGCACGATTTTTACAATCGTCAGCTATTTTGAAAAACGCTATTTTTACGCATAGTAAAGTATTCGAAACTTTAAAAAAAAAAAAAATATCGTTAAAAGTAATGGATTAATTTTTTGTTGAAAATGTCGTTTTTTTAAGATGGCAGGCAAGTGTAAATAAATACATTTACTATGAGTATAAAGTACTAAAGTAAGGCTATTATTACTTTCATATAGCAAAAAAGAGAATAAAAACACCGCTATAAAAACATTGTGCCAACGTTTAATTAGATTAAAATATTACTGAAATTGAATATCGAATTAAAAACCATCCTACCAACATTTAAAAGAATTAGAATATTATTAAATTCAAATACTTTAAAATACGTTATATAAAATATAATTAACATTAAAACATATGTGACAATAATTATCTCAGCAATTTTTGAAATAGTGTATTAATTTTTTAACAAAAATTGAAGTATACAATTATAAAATAAAAGAAAAATATGTACTTACATTTTTTGAGTAATTTAACCTCTTGTTTATTGATAAGTACCACAAAAAAAAAATCGAAATCATAATTGAATCGGATCTTTTAACCATCTTCATCTGTTATCCAAATATCTCGCACTTCATTGAAGAAGCAATTAGCGAGGTTTCCTCCAAAATTTCCTCTGACGCTATTAACAATTTATAAATAAATCTTTGATTAGGAAAGACAGGTTGGCCAAAATAAAGTCTCAAAGGGCAATTTTTTTTATTCCAATACCAATAATTCTTGGTAATTACCAATAACAACATTCGTCTTCGAAACGGAGATATCCATTCCATTTGAAATCCGAGGAATTCGAAGAGATGAATAATAAAATTTTAAAATGGCGCGGTAATGCACAAATATTCAGTAACCAATCAGGGAGCTGATTACATCACGCATAGAATTAAAATTATTTAAATAATCATTCATAATAAAATCATTTTAAAACAAATGCAAAATTAAATTTTATTTTAATATTTAACAGCCATAAATAATGTTTAAAACATTAGATTAAATTTATAGATATTAATAAAACCAATTACTTTTTAAGTAAGGTGACGTCATTGAGTACATCATCCACAACATCAGGCCCACCAGCGCCCGAGCGGTAAAGTCGCTAAACACTGGTAGTTCTGTCCGAGGTTCGAATCCCGCGAACGGGCTGGCTGCATGGGCGTTTTCGTGGTTTTCCCCATGTGTAACGTGTATACGAGCCAGTTTCCCTTAGAAAGTCCTCCACGAAGGCATCCCTCCCCTTAGGCAGATAGCCCTCGAGGCTTTGCGATAATTACACACACACACACACACACATCCACAACATAAAATATTATAAACAAAATTTTTATTTCAAATAAAAATGTAAAATTAAATTGATTTTTAATATTTAGAAGCCATAAATAATATTTAAAACACGGAAGTTATGCATAATAAAACGCATTTTTTTTAATAAAATGACAACAAAGTATCGGTTACCATAAATAACTTATCCAGCAATGGGTTTACCATAAGTTGTATTACTCGCCAAAAGGCAAATCGCCAAAAAGTCGCCAAAATCCGTGCAACCGTCTACCAAAGTAGCACCGATGTAAAGATCCAGAAAAAAGAACTAAAGAGAAAAAATAAAGGCCAGTGCCATATGCTTAAAGCGATCAAAATACTAATTTTAGGGCTTGTGTTTTGTTTTAAAAAATGTAGTGAATTTTAAGGTGCACGGAATTAAATTCTCTACTAGAATACATCAAGCCTATTCATACATTATATTTTCAACCAATAAATGTCGGACAATTAGTTGAAAAAATCCCAGTATGGCTGCTTTTTTTGTTACCATTTTTTATGAAGCGTATTCGAACCATTCTAGTAAAGATGATAATCTTTCTTATTATTTTAAGCATTATTTCCTTCACTTATACCCATAAGCAATTGTGCATGATTGCCGAAATTTTACATTCCTATCTCCAATATCTGCAACTGTGGTCGATCTCAAATATGCAAAACCTCAATCAAATTCGTGCTTTTCAAACCATATATATATATATATATTCAACATAAAATGTTAAAACGTAGTACACATAACATAAAAAACTCAATTCTTACCTTCAATCTTCTGAAACCAAAATTATTTTACGGAATCTTTTTAAATGATACAATGTAGAAATATAATATTATATTATAGACTTATATTTAATTCTAAAATTTCAGATTACTAATAATATTTTGCTAGTACATACAAGATGAAAAATTTTTAATTTTACTTTTAATGTTTTGAAACAAAAATCACTAAAATTACTTTTAAGGGTCTATTTTACGTGATATAATATGCAGGTATAATACATTATATACATTACTAAAACTTCAAATTATTAAAATTTTATATTGAAATTTTTTTACCACAGATCTGAAAAGTAAAAACATATATCAAATTCGATAGCTATAAAATCTGATCATTTTTGACAATCCAAAATATTTAATGATTCCAAAGGAACCACAATAAGTCACTGTAATTGCATTAACTAATACAAATAAAATAATGAGATATAATGGCACAAATAAATTTATCAGATATAGTAACACAAGTAAATTCATCAGAAATGCAATTACCATTCACAAAAATATGCTATTTAGAAGGAAATATATGTTTTATCAATATGAAACCTCTCCTTTATACGTTTCTCTCTCCAAATTTTTTTTTCAATTTTTATATTAGGATTATTAAGTCGGAATAAATAATCCTTTGGGGGATAAGTAATTTAAACTGGAAAACTCATAATGTTGAAACAAGCAGTTACTTCTAAAATTTTGATTCTCATAAATTTCTATAGACTTTTATTTAAATTTTAGGATCTTCCTTTTCCTGTTCATCTGTTTTTCTGGCTAAAGTGACCACAACTTTGTTGGCTAACATTTGATTGTTTTTTAATAGTTCGAACCATTTTTCGGTGTCTGTGATTTCAATAGCATGTTTGGATATGTAGCGAACTGCTTTATCTTTCAAGTCATGATCTTGGTATCTATCGGAGAGTATAAGAACATCAACAGCGACACTTGTACTTAAGTTAGATGCAATGATGTACGAGCATTTCTTTTTCAGGCTAAATATTTCATATTTATCAGATGCATAAAAAAGTTCACAAGCCAAGTCAAAATTCAAATTTCTAGTAATACCATAATAAATATATCGTAACATTTCTTGAACTGCAACCTTAGAGAGGTCCTTAATAATAATTATGTTGGATTTCTGTAATTTGGACTGCATCATGGTACGAAATACCTTAGACCTTGCACTAAGAATAGCTTTATGCACAGGGAAAGTTTCATCTTTGACTCTGATAAAGGAATCACTACAATCTCTACTTTCAAGTAAACTTCGAAGGTCTTCGCATATTTCCACCGACGAATTTATACTAAAAGGATCGATTTCTTCCACCTCAGCAGTCAGAATCTCTTTATCGTTGTAAATATTTAAGCTGCATTTCAAGGTTAATTTACCATCTTTCAAGATTTTATTTTCTTTATCCAAGATGAAAGCTTGTTTACAAAAGGTTGCCCATCCAAGCTCTGATTCTAAGGATAATACTTTTTTTATTGTCCTGGTTTTAATTTCTTTACCTTCGGCGTTCACAACTGAACATGAGAATTCAATTAGCTTTTCTAGAGGTGATGTTTTCTTCAGCCATACAGATATATAGTTTTTCACTCTATCGTTGAATCCTTTTGGATAAAGAATGAGACTCCATTGACAAACTTCTTTATTATTAGGCGTGTTAAAATAAGCAACAAGGCGCCTTCCAACAGTAGGGACAGAGTTACTAAAATTTTCGATATTCCAATTATTGATATACGTACTGAAGGCAGAATTTTGTTTATCTTCTTCTTCTTCGGACTGTGTACTTCCCATGTTTCAGTTTCAACAAAATTCGTAAATACCAGTGCACACAAGACATAAGCAAATTTCTATAACAGTTGCTTGCAGATGTTAATATAGTGCCTGCTGTATCCTAACTGCGAAGCCTTTGCGCTTCAGAGATAAATTTTTTTGTGGGACTGATAACGTCGAGAAAGGGAAACTCCCGACTGAAACGTTTTCTTAACCTTTGATTCTAATAGAAGTCTGATAAGATTTATATCGGCAGCTCATTTTGTCACAAGAATTCCAGATAAGCGCTGAAAATTCACAGATAATTAAAATTATTTTCATGTTTATACGGGTGTACTCCAACTGCGCGAATCGATATTTCTTCCGGCCGTTGCCTACACGGTTACAGTTTTACTTTTCGAAGCCAATATTAACCAAGAGGAATACATAAATAAAAAAATAGAATTACATATCACAAGAGCAAGTGAAGAATATCTAACAAGCATGTTAATTACTCGAATAACAGCAATAAATGCGAGAGCTAACAAAGAAAATAAAAGGTACTAGTAAACATATATAGTAGCATGACAAACATCTTACATTAATTACAATATTAGAGCAAAGAGTACTATAGTAATATCATAAATTGAATAATTATAAAGCATACCAGTTATACTTTTTATAAATTTACATCAATAATAATCATGATGTCTGAACTAGACTAGAAAATTTAGTATAGTTCACTGGCGTGTAAAAGATTATTCCGTATCTAAGTGTGCTAGAAATATTTCTTGTTAATTAAAGTAATCATGTAAAGGTTTGCAGAAATTAATAGTTTAATTTAAAAAAACTTAGCATGAAATCTATTAAAACAACATTACTGTGCGTTTGAAACACTAACGTATAAATGGTAAATAAATTAAAATTATTATGCTAAGAAGATTTTTCTAAAATTTATCTAGAAGAAAAGAATTAGATAAACAGTACTTACTGCAAATTAATATAATCAATCACGCCTTTCAATAAATAAAAGCTTAATTTTTTTAACCTAAAATGAAAAATTAGGATGCAAAAATTGGTGCAATATACTTGGAAGTATCTGACCATATAATAATTTAAAAACATATAATTAAATTAATAACAGGCTAATGAACAGCAACATTAAGCTTAAATTCATTCAATCTAAAACAAGCATCGATCAGGAACTCCGCATAACTGAAGTTTTATTGCTATTTTACGTAGATTGCGTGATTTACGTATATTACGTAATTTTACTTAAGGTAAAATAAAAGTTGCACTTGTTGAAACAAGTGAATAATGTACTGATAGTCAACAGGAATTAAAATACAGTGGTTAAAAATATGACTACTTGTCAGAAGTATGCATAGTTGCTATCATGGAGGTAGGAAGTTGCTTTTCTTACCTTTCTTACTTCCATGGTTGCATAGCTAGAGAAATTGAATGATTATAGAAAACTCATAAAGTTAAGCGCTACAGTGTGAAAAGAAAATTCTGGAATAAACATGTCAAGAAAATTAGATGGAGAAATAACCCTTAATTTATTGATATCCATATAAACTCTATGCTTTTGGAAAAGGTTACATATAATTTGCACCGAGGTATCAATCACAGAAACCGAGCTAATTTCTTTCCTTATTTTAAAGATTTTCTATCTAATTTTTGTCCCTTATATTATTATTATTTCCTTATTCTTTTCCTTATTAAAGAGATTTGTAAAAGGATATGCTAAGGTAAAGGTGAAACATTTTACAGTATTTTTAAAGAATAAATTTAAAAAGTATTTTTACTTCATGAACTGAAATTTTTAAAATACTTTTTTCCACGGAAAAAAATGGGGGGAGCTAGGGGATCTCTGGGATTAGAAACTCGGGTCGAACTACCAATGTTTAGTGACTTTTCCTCTTGATCGTAAAACCTTTTGAAATTAGGCTGAACAATATTGTTACGGTTTTTGTATTGATCTAGCTATTTTTAAATAGAATTAATTAAAATTGTTTCATATTACCATGCAATGCAGCACGAGACTTCTTTGAAGAAAAAGCTACGCCGGAAAAATTAAAAATACAGGAGCACTCGCATTTAATAAATACATATCTCGCAAATGTACTCTTGCTATTCAGAAAAATAAAAAAAAAATTCTCGTTCATTTAAAAAGCTTATAAAAGCCAAAGGAAAACATCTCAATTCAGTTGTTTACTTATTGCTGTTAATGACTGTAGCGAATTCGCGGTGAAATCGGATTAGCTTTCTCTGTTTTAAGTTCTGTTGAACGTTTTAGTAATTTAAAAGATAACTACTATACCTCTAAGGAAATTTAAGCACTTTTATTTATTTATTTATTTTTATTTGTTGTGATAAGAATTTTCATTGGACTTGTGCATTCAACTTATTACGAACACGTATGCACGCAACAATATATTAAAGAAAATAGAAGATGCAGCACATGTGAGAACGAAAGTGGGCTGAATTATAGATTCACATGTTTGGTGAATGAGTTAAATTTATCTGTATGCCATTAGGAAATATTAGGACTGTAGCATAAAAGCATCAATGAAGAAGGAAATGGTAATCTAAATGTATAGCATTACCAGTATCTGCTATTAATTTCAATACTGTTGAAAAAATTATAAATGAATTACATTATAAATTTCATGAGCTCGTTGCAATATAAATTACAACAGTTAAAAATATTATTAGCGTGATTTAGCGACCATCTTTGTTAATAAAGGATTTCAAATAATTAATTTTACAAATAATTCGGCCTGCAACTAGGTTAGAAAATAAGCTGCAGGCTGAAGATTAAGCTTTGCCGAGGTGTTGGAAACTGTTAACTAGAGTTATGATGCAAAAATTTTAAAAAATTATCGTTTAAATATAAATTGGCATAAATACAATACAAATTATATGTATTCTACATACATGAAAACTTGAATACAGTGCAACAATATGTGAAAAAGGAATGGATAGAAAGGGAACTGAAAATCCCAAGACAGGAATATAAGGGGATTCGATTTTTTTTTTTTTTTTTAATTTTTTTTGTTAATTATGAAAATCCTGCAGACGCTTATAATTATCAATTCATTAATTAAATGTGTATTATAAATTAAATGTATGCCAAAATACATCAGGTAGAGTAACTGAAAAACAGAATGAATATTTAAACGTTTATAGTGTTAAAATATGGACTTTGTAAGAAAGTTAAATAACCTTAAAATAACTTCAATGACTAAAAATGGAAAGCTTAATACGGCAATATATTGCAATAATATTAGTGTGAATTTAGAACCACTTAAGAAATCCAATTTTTAGATTTAATAAAGAGAACTGTTTAAATTAAATTAAACTGTTTACCTAAAATGGTGAATTTGAAAGTTAAAACCATTCTGCTATCTAAGAAGATTCGTTAATATTTATATAGACAAGAAACTTATGTAAGGTGAGCTGCAAATCCGATATTTGATAGGTTGATTATGTATCAGTTTTGTGTATGTCATTAACCTATCAATTTAAATATTCAAAACTGATGTATATATCAGCGACTAAAATCTACAACTTAAAAAGTTTTTAATTCTTACAGAGAATAAAATGTATCTGGCTCATCATTCTTTTAAGCATCATAGAACTTTAAAATGAGTGCAAAAGAAATTCATTTTTACTTTAGCAGACGCCAGACTTTAAATTGATATTTGTTTTACATGCACAATTTTTTACAATATTGATTAAAAAAAATAGAGGCTTGCAGTCTCAATAAAATGAACCATTAATGGAGATAAATGACTTTTTCGTAGCACCTCATCTTCTTGGGAATTCATGTTCTTAGAAAGAAGGAACAGGAAAAAGTCGCGCAGTTCGTCTATTAGCTAAGAGGGGGAAGAGGATCTTCGATCAAATTTCGCGCAGTTCGTACACTACCGATTCTAAGACATATTAATTCGAAGGAATATGGTTGCGTGTGTATGAACTCTCCAATTTATTACTTCTTAAGATACGTGTAATTAGCATGCAGTATAAAAATGATAAATCAATGAAGAGTTTACTTAAATACTCGCTCTTTGATTTCAGATTGAATTCAGCTGATATCGAAATGCAAGTATTAACAAGATTCGGATATGCTCTCAATGAAGAAGTCCACTTGGGCTCTTAGATAAGAACTTTTGCTTACCTATAAGTTTTAGATACGTCACTTCGAAGATTTTTTTAGTTTGTAAATTAGGCGGAGTATCGACACTGATGCCAGATTAGCTGCCAGATTCAGTTTTCTTTATATTCTTTGATATATATGTAAGATAAAAAATATGTAAATCAAAATTATGATTAAATTAACGACAACCCCTTAATTCTTCCTCTCTATTCTAAAAATCGCAATAACTCCTCTGGATTGCGTCATTTCTGGATTAATCTATTCTTGGCTGGATTTAGACTTTACGAGGCCCTAAGCTATTTGAGATATGGGGCCCTTTCTAAGTCCAGATATTATATGTCACTGCCAAATATGACTTTCGGATACCTATAGGGTTAAACTGAAATACAATTAAGAAGTATACATATAGCGAAATAATAAGTCTCATTTAAAAGTCATTTTTATTCTTAACAAACTTAAAAATGCAAACTCTGGTAAAAAGAAACAATAGTTCTTTTAAAAGGCACAATTTACAAAAGGTTATTATCTAATACCTTGAAATATGTTATACAGATTAAGGAATTGTGTTAAACAAAAATGTGGTAAACAAAAATGTAAATTGTGAATACTGTATTGCTGCAAAGAAACACTTCGCGTTGATTTTGTACATAAACACATTTCTCTCTCTTTTCGTTCTTTTTCTTTCCTTCCTTAACTCGTCACTTTCGACCCTACATTCCTATACAAAAAATGCATGTTTTAGTACGCTCCACCACCCCTCCAAGTTTGTCCCATGATCTACGAAACACCCTGTATATATATAGAAATAGAGATTACTAGCTGTACACTTGAAATTACACTAGCTGAACTCATTAAAATCATTACATATTTTTTTCTTATAATAGCCATTTTAAACGGTCTTCCAATCATGTCTGATAAATATCTTAGCAAAATTTATTATCAACAACATAAAACATTTTGAAAACAGGCTCTTCTTATGCGAAATGATTTGAAAAGTATCACATCGAATGCTTGAAAACGCCAGAATGGTCTTAATAATCATTGCGGCAGATACCGTCAGAAATAAAGTCCAAATCCTTTGATTTTTTTTTACGCATAATGTTTCCGATGACAGTTTTCTTTCCTATCCCATAAATCAGCGTTGTTTCAACCACTCCTGGAGAAGCTACGTCATAGTTCTCTGTCTGCTTTGCAAACCGAAACTTTTCATTTAGTCGTACACATAGCGTCAGTCGCACTTACAAACGCGGTACCTCAGTTATGGCTGATGAAAAAATTGATTATTATTATCCTGGAGATGTAATTTACACTGGTAAACCGTTCATCTCATGTATTCAAAAAGGCGTACAAAAGCATATATGCGGATATTGTCTATCAAGGTAATTTTTTATTAGCTTTATCTTAAAATTAAGCTTACGAAAGATGGATATTGATACTTATCTGTATAGAAAGAGAGAATATTGTATTATTTCTGTAATGACGTAAGATAGAGTAGGTACGAAAATTCTTTCAGTGACAAATTATGCTCAGGTTTAGAGAAATTATTGACTTGTAATATGTTCTGATAATTATGAAATTTCTAGTTATAAAATGTTGCAGATGAAATTGATCAAAACTAATACATGCTGTTTGAAGTTTTCGGGGAGGTTTTCTTCCAATTTTTGTGCATAAAAATTATTGCCGAAATAACTGTTCTGTGAGGAATGTATGTAATAAGCTACGTATATAGCTTTTGCGTGAAAAAAACTCAAAATATCCTGTATCAGTTTAATATGAAAAATAATATACATTTTTGTTTATTTAAGTAGTTAAAGAAAGCATAAGTTGAGACATACGTTGAATATAAAAATTAAAAAAGTACGTATATATTAGGTTTTGTGGTGTTGCATTTTCTATTGATTGCACATGATACGATATATTGATAGTACGGCCGGCTCCATTCCTATCAAGGTAAAGTTTATGATTTAGGTAATTATTAACAGTGTACATAAGTAAATAATACATAAATACATAAATAAACTATTGTTTATTGGCGTATAAATTATGTAAAGGTAGCATACGGAAACTTACAAAATTTTGTCATTGTCTTTAATGTGACTATTATAAGTTTAAAATAGGACATTTCAGGAATTTATTTTCGTAATTTAATGTTAATTAGTTGATAAATTTTAGAAAAAACATATCCTCAAATTTGTTTTACAGTTATATTTTATTATTATGTATTAGATTATGTTTAATAATAATGCATCTTTCATACATTTCTGCTTTATTCTTGGAATGGTAATAACAAAGTTGGTTGCTCAGATAATTACTTGAAGTTATTCAGTTCTCATTTGGTGATAGTTCTTAATTTTTTTAATTCATAGTCCTTAAAAGTTCTTAATTTTCGTGCAGACGTATGTACAACTGTTAGCAGCTACGTTTTACCATTATCTTTTCTATTAGTGTACAGAATGAGTTGTATTTTTATAGGAGTTGTGTTAGTTTTAAGATTGGATGAATTGGATGAATATACATAAGTTTATACATAAATTTTCGAAGGCGGAGGTTTCAGTCAAATGTTGTATACTTATCATTGGATTTTATTTTGCACGTATTTTTGTTTTGTTATGAATATGTTTACATACATATACATCTAAGAAAAATAAAGAATATGTAAAAGATTAAATTAGCAACGTAAATTAATTTCCCTTCACTGTTCTAAAAATAGCAACATCTACTTGCACTGCGTCATTTCGAGAAAAATCTTATGTCATATGACTCTTACGTAATTCTGGTGATGTAAATTGAACTAAAACTCAAGCAGCCAATAATAATTTTACAGTATCATTAACTATCTAATCAAAATGCTTTGAGAAGATTTCATCCTGAACATTACGCACTTTCTTTATACGCTTAACCTCAGGTGGACTGCAGTCTGTCTGCTTTTTTTTTTTTTTTTTTTTTTTGCTGCAAATCTTATCAAAAATGTAAGCCCTTTCTCCTTTGGGCCTGTGAGCCGTAACATGTTGCTCAAAATAAAACAGAAGATTTAATTTACATTCGCCTCCAATTTCGTCCTCCTGCTCTTCAGTTACTTTGTTTGTATTATTACATACATATATATAAATATGTTGTAGACGTGGATATTAATGATCCAGAAATTAGCAGCAAACGTGGCAGCCGAGGCAGATTATATGTTCATTTTTATTTCAGCTGTTACGTCAGTGTTATTGTTGTTATTTCCGAGTCCAAATTTCATGGAAGAATAGGTGACAGAGCCTCAAAGAGAATAGATGTCGTGCACCCCAATTTTAGGAGAGAGAACCCCGGGTGGTGGTCTAAGGGTCTCTCACCCCTCTTCCCTGCCACCAAACCCTAGCATCCCTAGCATCCTACCACCGAGAGGACGTTTGGGTCGCTATATATTGTGCGCGAAGCATAATCCACATACAAACAGTCATGTCTTTTCCGGGATTCGAAACGGGCCCTCCAATACGGCAGTCAGTCATTAATAACTATCCCGTCTTGGCGGCTAGAAACCGCCATTTTCTTGTAATTAAACGGAAAAAATGAAAGAAACGTTAATTGAAATGATTTCTGTTACTTCGTAAAAGAGAGGTACATAATATAGTTTTTTTTCCCTTCAAATAGCTGGTACATGATTCTTTTTTTATAAATAGCTGGTGATATTTATATGGAACAACGTCTGAGCCAAGTCAATAAAAGTTTCGCTGTAAGGAATGCAAAGTGCCTTTCATAAAGTGCCTTCTTCTTTCTTCATTTCAGTCAATATCCATTACAAAATCAGACAGTACCTGTGTCTTTTCCAACATTTTGTACGTTTGGTAGAGACGCCTTCATCGCAACGCCTTCGCCGGGACTCGAACCACGGACCTCTCGAATACGCGTCGAGCTTCCTGACCACTTAACTCCGAAAGCATGTTAAGAAGGCGGGAGAAATACCTTACCGGTAAAGGCTATTTTCGTCGCTAGTGCAGCTTTCACCGTCATCGAATTCTTCATTTGTCATTTCACGATCGTCATTCTCAACAAATTCTTTAATTTTTCATTTTTACATACATGAAAATAATTCGCCGCCTGTTGCTATTGTAATTCGTATGATTTTCTTGTCTTCATTTTCAATCGTTCGAAATCTTTAAAAATGTCGGCATCTTCTTTGCCATCGCTGATGCTAGCAAACATACATTGTTGATGAATTCACTTGTTCCCACGGGATCATTTCCATACAAGTGTCTTACGTTGAATTGCTTCCAAAATGCTGTTACTGTCTCGTGCTTTCCTTGCAGTGCTTTATTTGGAGAGATGTAAACATGAATGACGTAATAGGCTTTGAATGTTTTAATGATTCCATGGTTTTAAGGAAGTAATCCGGTCTAGATTTAGACTTGATAAGGCCCTGAGCTGTTTGAGATATGGGGCTCTTCATAAGTCTTTTATAATATATTTTAATACTATTTATACTATATTTTCAATTGGGGGGCCTCTAAGCTGCAGCTTGTGTAGCTTATACGTAAATCTGGCTCTGGAAGAAGTGCTCGGTAGAAAAAATAAAATCTCTATATTTGAATGAAATGTTGTGAGGGTTTCAGTGCCGTGTCCTAGAGGATTATCGAGAATTAGAAGGACTTTTAAGCTAACGTTTCGCTTTTTAAAGTGATTTTTGACTTTTTAGAAAATGAATTTTCAAAGCAATAATCAAAGAGGACTATCGGAACGTGGCGGATACGGTGCACAGTATACCGCGTATAATTCATATTCTTCTTGCCTTGAGACACATGTTAAATTGAGACACTTAAAAAAAAAACGCGTATAAGAAAATTCGCGTTCCGCAGTCCGCGTTCGTAAATCCAATGTCAATAATTCTTCACAAGTTTGAAACTAGAAATCGAGAGCAAGCTCGTATAATTTTTTATGGCTTCATTTAAGTCGTAATAAATATCTGTCTATTAATTAGTTATCGTGTACATTAATTTGGACAGTCAAATTTATCAGTCTTTGATTTTTAACTTTCTTCATATTCTGTTAATATCTTCATCTTAAAAGAAAAAATTTTCACCTTTCTCAAAAATATTTTCTCTTCTTTTTCATAAAGAAAAAGGTAATCCTCCAGTTACGTCTTAATTCACCATTATAATGTGCTAGAGCTATTTCTTATGGACAGGCATGCTTATGGACAGGCATGCTTTCGTAAAGAATTTTCTAAGGGAAACAAACTGGTAGTTACGTTTCACGTCAAGAAAACGATTAATAAACATGCAGCCAGCCCATTCGCCAGTACTCAATGCTATGTTAATCCCTCTATAAGCGTGGAAAATTTTATAGATTTTGATTTCAAAGCGTTATTTGCCGTTTCTTTTTCTTGCAGTATTAAATTCCACGAAGTCATACATAAAATTTTAAACTGATTTCTTTAAGGAGGCTATCAGATTCAACCTATTATACAGATTTATCTTTGGATGCCTTACATAAGTTTGAACTTTGTGTAAAGTAATTAGTTGAAAGTTATGTATAATGCATGATTACGATGTTTCAAAATTGAAAGTTATAACTTTCAGTTTTAATAGTTTGATAATTGTGGTGATAGTTATAACTATCGCAATTAGTTTTTAAATGTGTATCTAAAATTTCGCTTGCCCGTTCACCTGAGGCAAGTCCATTGTTCAAGCTGTACTAAATTATCTGGAGACTCACAGTTTTCTATTTCTTGAATGGAATGAACTGTCGGTAAGTCCGTCAGTAGCGACGCAGATAAAAATTTTTAACCGGTACAAAATGTCTTCCAAGTACGGTATCCAAGGGTGTTTTTTTATATCTACACCTGGAGTTGTTTCCTTGAGTGCAATAAAATGTAGAAGTTCTTCATTCACTTCTGGATTATTTGGTACATGGATGAACATATCTAGTTGTGATTTGTCCGTAGATTATTTTTAGGCAGTGATCTTTTACTGTATTCTGCAGAACCCGGGGTTCCGCTATTCAAACACCAGGGATCCGTGACTCGAAATAAAAATTGAAGATGAAAATTATTGGCCATCCATACTAGTTGACTGTCGCACTAGTATTTATTAACTAAAAAATATGAGGATACATTTAGTTACAGATTGGTTTTAAAACGTACCATATGGTCATCATACTGTCAAAGAGAATAATGACATACACTGGCTTTGCAAAAATCAAGTTTTTGTAATGAATTGAATTATGACAACAATGCTTTAAATTTTACAGTGGAGCACTTTTTTCAATTGAAGAAAAATATTAAAGAATATTTCGCAGAAGAAAGAAAATACGAAAATTCGTACTATACAAAAATACAAAAATATCAGATACAAAGAATACTAGAAAATAGAAAAATACTAGATACAAAAATTCGTTCGTATACTACGATAAACGAGAAGGCCAGCTAATGAAGGAAGGGAATAAGTTATTGTCATATCAACACGTTCTACGTTAAAATCCAAATTTAAGTTAAGAGGAGCTCTTAAACTTTTGTTGTAGATTCATGCGGAATACCTGGAAATTTCTGATACAGCTGTAACCATAATGGCGTTCGGAACAACATAAAGTGAAAAATATTTCTCAGCGTATGTGGAAACCAAAAAAACAACACAGAGACAAATTAAATGCAGATTAATAAATGCGATAGCAGATAACATGAGTAGAGCTAGCTTCGATAGTCAGTGTAAAAACAACTGCAGGCATATCCGTTGTGATTAAATATGAGGCAGTGGTAGGTGACATCTAGAGCACGAGTTAATACTATTATAATTACATTAATTTTACGTTAAAATTGTTTAATAAAAATACTTTTTATTAATTGCCTTTACATAAAGCACTTAAAATATATTGATCTACTTTAAATGTTATGATACTTACGTATTATCCCGTCGACCATTAAAGTTGCCTACCATCGTTCGAAAGTTGGCCAAATGCCTTTTATTTAAAACAATGAATATTCTACCCTCTTCGTTGCTTCATTTTTGCTGTTTATGAAAATGTTTTCGTCTGTTTCTACTATTTTATTACGCCTTCCGATTTTACCAGAAGCTCTGCTGAGAAAACAAACTTATCACAAGTAATTTTTTCAATCTGTTGCTCATTTTTATCGGCCGTATTTAACTGACCGTATTGTATTCATCAATACACACGTTTTTTATACCAGGATCCGTAACTTTGAAAATAATCCGCTACTTGCGGTTCTGTTGAAGAATCCAAATTTTAATGATTTGTTTTCAAATGCGAGAAAAAAATGCAGCAGTAAGAGTTAATTTATATCATTCTTCGTCATAAAATGCAGCTTATCGAGAATCAATCACGGTTACATGAAACGAAAGCACATATATTATGAGTTTGTTGTTACTTGACGATTTTATCCATAACTGCCGCTTACCGTTGCAACTATAGGACCTATATTATTTTAAGATATATTTTTCTAAGGTTAGAATGGGGTTCCCTGAAAAAAAAATCTGATAGTCCTAAGGGTTCTGTGAGTCATCAAAGTCTGAAGACCACTGGTCTAAGGCCCAGACTCAATACTGAGTGGTTCGTTAATTTTTTTTTTTTTTTTTTTTTTTTGTAAGTTACTTATGACATTATCGGAAATAACAGAAATTTCCTTTTCCATGGTACGTCTAGATGCAGGTATTTGTTGAATTAATTTGAGTAGTTTTTTGTTTTCGGGATCTAAAGCAGAAATTACTTCTAAAATATTTCTTTTTTGAACCAGTGTAAGAGCGTTTAACCTGAGCGGTATTGAAAGCAATAAATAATCCGGCCTCCATTGTTACATTTGCCTCTTTAATAAAAGTTGACATAATCTAGATTTGTTTATATTTAATTTTGCTTTTTTAGACAATTTTTGAATTCGTTTTGACTCTCAACCAGCAGAAAATTGTTGTAATATGCTTTGATTCATAATGTCGCTCAGGGTTATTGGCCGTGAACTGTGACAGTGTTACTACCTCACATAACAGACATTGGTTTCCCCGTTTTCTTCAAACTCGTTCTTTCATTCCGCTTTAAATCTCTCTCTTCACGTCTGTTTTTTCCAGATAGCGTAATTTCTTACCTCCGATGTGAAAGTGTGACCCCCCCCCCCAAAAAAAAATTCAGATTTTATATTACGTGAAAAAGGTCTGTTTTTAACGTTGTATACGTTACCTTCATGTATTTAATGTCATGTTCCTCGCACTTAAACCAGAAAATTAAAATTCTACAGCAGTATCACAAAATAATTTAAAAAGAGCAGCTTTAGAATTTCCGATACACAATCTCGCGCGCTGAAGATAAAAATATTTTTTTTTTCGTACAGTGTTGCCATTGCTCGCTTTGAAATCGTTGAGTTTGTTAATCAAAAATTCGTTAAAAGATTTACAAAATATGAAGTAGGTAATAAAACAAATTCCTGATTCCAAGTTTCTGCTTTCAGATGTACATATTCGAGTGAAGAATTACGTCATTCAAAATTTGATAACTCTAGGTACCGTTGTTTTCTGACAGTGAAACGTACATTCATGTATGCAAATTCTTCATTATTTGATTTCTTTAAAATATAATTCAGGGCGATAATATGTAGTGGCAACAATTTGAAAAGTGAAACGGGCATTTAATGTTTTCAACGCAAAATTGCAAAACGAAATTAATAGCCTTTCTGGGCTATTAAAAAAAAAAAAAAAAAAAAAAAAAAAAACTGCTGAAAGCAGGATTCAGTTGCAATCATCTATAGCCATAGTTCAGATAATTCTGATAAAGAACGTAGGGAAAAGGTTTAAAGCATAAATGTCAGGCGTTTTTTTATGCGTGCAAAAACTTTTATTCTTCTGTTGTATAAATCAAATGAGCTATGCGTCGTAACATGCAAAAATAAACATTCTAGCCTGATTAGTGATGCTGAAAACCTTCCACGTCAGACACACTTAGAAATGATAAATAGATGTCGAAAATATAATGAATTATAGAACTGAAAGATGATAAACAGATGTCGAAAATTTTATGAATTCTTTTAATCAGATCTACCAGAAAAGTACGCTCTTATAAACTATGCGATCAAACATTCCATTTTAGGAATATGTATATTACTCGACTTCAGAAAGCAGGAAAGTGAGAGAAGTGTTTTCGGAGGAATGCAATTACGGAATTTACGCAGTGAATTTGTCACAGTTTATGAATGCGCTTCTCTTCTGAGAAATAACGAAGCCCCCCTTTCCCCCCCAAAAAAAGGGTAAAGTCAGTTTAGTCTTTCTCACGCAGTAAATACGAGAATAAAAAACTTCTATATTAATTTTCATATGGTACATTTTACATATTCCAAATTATTGACATGTTACTAGATGAATGCAACAGATTTTGAAAATGTTTCTTTCAGTGATTTATTCAAATTTTAAAAGTTATGTTTCTAGCTAGCAGAAAGATTGCCCCTTGTCTGTTTTCTTGACCAGTATATTCTATTCATTGCTTTTTGCAGCCTATAATTACCATTCACAGACTTTTTCCATTTAGAATTTTCCGTTCTGGTGGTGGTAAGAAGGATTTCGTGAACGTTTTTTCTCTCCGAAGCGTTACGTGTCTATCCTAAAATGACGTTTTTGAATGTAGAAACCTTAAATGGGATACAGAAGTTGCAATTCCATTTCCTGTCAGCTGGTATTAACCGCATATTTACAGTGCCTTTAGAGCAGTATTTCTTAAACTGTGGGTCGCGACCCTAATTGGGAATCGTCGGCGCATTTTTTTATAATAAAAACGTACATTTTACTTTAAAAAATTAAAGTTAATAACCTAAAACTACAATAGTTTATTACAGTGCAAGTTAAGAAACCGATAGTTTCAACTTACGTGTGTCAGATTTGCGCTGTGCTTATGCGGGTGGGTCCAAAAAATTTTCGTAAATATTATGGGGTCCTCAAAACAAAAAGTTTAAAAAACCCTGCTTTCGAGGATTGTTTTCTCTTAACCTTTACGTAATGAAATTCTGTCTCTCTGAAATGCCGTGAGAACAACGAACTCTGAAAACAATATCTCACAAGTGCATGGACAGGAAGGAGGTAGGAATTTTTTTCAAGCAGAACCATTTTATTAATGTACTACGTGAGAAAGGTAAACCCATGTTCCACAAACCCATGGTCCACAACATGTTAAATGGATGGACAACGAAAAGCCTCGATGGATATAAGTTGGAAATTCTAGCACTGGAGAATTGCTTGACGCGTTTTTAAGAATTGCACATACTCGGTATCCATGTACCATCGATTTTTCACTTAAAAAAATCCCAGAATTGCACAAAATGGTCACTGCGCATACCTTTATCTATGAACATCGACCTATTGTCACTTAAAGTAAAAAAAAAAAAAAATTTGACAAAATTTCAATTGTTTTTACCCCTGTAAAAAGGGGCAAACAAATAAGTGGGCGATTCTGCACTTTACCGAGAATGGTTTCGAAGAAAAGGCATCATTCATTATAGAAAATTATGTTTGAACAACCAGCGAGATGACATTATGCTTTAGCGATAATTCGGTAGCGAAATAGCGATGCAGGCATCCATTCAGTTATGGATGACTGATAACTTATAGCCAGAATACCACTGAGATCAGTAGTTTACCTGGCTCAATGAAATTTATGCCAGATGGACACAATAACATAGAACTATCTTCACATAATGTCCGCCGTAAGGAGGAGCAAAGACGGATAAAGAATAGGAAGACCAGTAAAGGCGTGTAACCGAAGTGAAGCAAGTAACCGGCCCGGTAAAGGCGTGACTAAGTGTGAGTCATAAAATGAGTTAAGAATGTGAATAAAACTAGTGAATTTAAGAAATACTCAGTACAATAAATGAATAAGATACAAAATTAAGAATGCTAAATAAACACATTAGGTACATTATTTACAGGTGGGCGGAGAATTGCTATTTTGCGTATTCGAGTTTTATAAGCAGCTAAGATGAATTTAATAACAGACGGTTTTTCTATTGATTAGTATGTGTTCGTTTTGGAAAAATTCGATCTGGAAATTTAAACGTAATATGCGGCTGGTTTAACTAATGAGTTTAGCAAGTGGCCGATCCTGTATTTATATTCGTTAATATTATGCAAAGGCAGACATATGTTAATAATTTTGTGTTGTTCAACTGAAATATAAGCATTTTTTTCAATGGGTAATTATAAGAAAAAAGGCTTGAACACTCAAAAACAAACAAATTTGCTGAAAATATTGTTCATTTTAGTGAAACCACTAAAGAACAGATATGATTATAAAAGTAAAGTAATTTATAGTATTTAGCACTTTTTTTTTATTTCCTGTTCTTGTATTCTTTAATTATGTAATTTTCATTTCAGGCGGGGGCCTCTGAAATTTTGTGGATGTTGTCGTGTAACTAGATACTGCAGCAAAAGTTGTCAGGTGAAGTATCTGATATACAACTTCTCTAAGTAGATTTTAGTATTTAGTTTGAAATTCGTTTATGTTTTTTTATTACGAAACATTCATTGGGGACTATTCGTGTTTGGAAAACGCCGTATAAAAACAGTAAAATAATAAAAAGTTGGAAAACCAGAATACATAAAATATGAAATATTTAAAAAAATAAATAACGGTGGTTAGGTAGTAACGTAAAATATAAAAAATAATGTAATAAAAAATTTTTGATTGGTAATAAAAAAAAATTTTTATTGCCAGCGAAAATGTGGTGTAGATGCGCAAACAAAAAAAAAAAAAAACATAATAAAAAAAAAGAAAAAAGCGCCCAAATTATAGCCCCAAGAATGCGGCCCATTATTATTTTTATTTAAAATAGTCTTTTTTTTTTTTCCCATTATTTTTTCCCCCAGTTATTATTTTTAACCGTATTTATGTTTGCCAGGATCTAGGCTGGGGCGTTAACGCTTCCGTTCTGATTTCAGATGTTGCGTAAAGTTTTGTTATATTAGTTCGTATATTTCTTAAGACCATTGAAATACTAGTTAATTTTGAAAAACCTTTTTGTTGGATTATCCTATTCGATTTAACAAAATGGTGGAATTGCCCATGTTGGAACGAAAAGCTGCGATAGAAGAAAATTGCTGGGTAAAGTTCATGCGAAATCACTCACACTGCTGACGCCACGTTCGGTTGTTTTTTTAAGAATGCAGTCATACTCGGTATCCGATGTACACTGTCGGACTTAATTTTTCACTTTTCCTTAAAAAAAAACGTAAAAATCCCAGAAGAAATGTGCAACAATAACCAAAAAATGGCAGATGCGCACACCCTTATCTCTGACCACTCGAAAGCCTATTTGTCACTTTAAAAAGTAAAAAAAAAAAAAAAAAAAAAAAAAAAAAAAAAAAAAAAAAAAAAAAAACAAAAGAAAAAACTGACAAACAATTCAATGGTATTTACGGACCACTTGAAAAAAGCGGCAAACAAATAAGTGGCGCGAGGGCGATTACTGAACAGCTTTAACGCCCAAGAAATGGTTTCAAGGAAAAAAGGCATCATCCTTATAGAAAATTTATGTTTGAACAACAGCGGAAGATGTACATTATGCTTTAGCGATAATTCGGTTAGCGATAAAAAAAAAGAGAGAGTCAGAAAATTAGCGCATGCAGGACGCCGATTTCCAGTTATGGTTTCGCATTTTTATTATACTAAATTATTATAATATATGAATTGTGCAATAGTTATTCGCACGGTTTGATTCCATTCAGTCAGTTTAGCTCTTTATATATAAATTATAATAACCAAAAATGTTAAACCTTTCATTCTAAATTTTAAAAACATCAATCTTAATAGTTATTTACGATGTTATGACTTCCTTTCTTGAATTTCATGTTTGCTGTAAATTTATTTTTGGGGCAGGCACGCGCGAACTGTGACCATTCCAAATAGGATCTTGCTTGGCGATTGTGAGTTTGTTTAGGCCCTGCGCTTACATAAAAACCGAATATGTACCCTTGTGATCATTATATTTTTTTAACAATTAAAAACGTTATTCGAAAAAATTATAAAACAAGATAAAAAATAAAAAATTAAAAAAAACTATATTTTGTCTTTTAAACAGAATGAAACCACCCACTGACTACAATAAGTATTTGGACCCTGTGATAGATAAAGATAACCTAACTTATTTTCAAAAATCAATAGTGTAGAGCCTCCACGAGAGCGTTAATTACGCGTGAACAGACCAACCCTCCAGGGCATGATTTCCAACAAGTCTTTGGTATCGGTACAAGCTAGTGGTATTTTCTTACTCGGCGGGAGAAACATAGAAGTTTCCTTCACCGATGTTGCAGGGGATGCCCCCTGAGTCAGCGAGGAAACTTGCCCAGAGGTTCTCGATAGGTTCAGGTCTGGAAATGGAAATTCGGGGTCTGGCAGTAATTCGATGAAAACTCCTATTGGGCCACCATACAAACCTTGTGTTAAACCGTGCGAATACACATGGACATAGTGCGCGAAAATCATGTGACAAACTGGCGGTTTGTCGCCTGTCATGAAAAGGTAACAGGGTGTCCAACCGTGTAATAATAACCACAAAAAACGTAGGGAAGCCACATTGTTCATACTAAACGAATAGTGCAAGTAGGCATCAGGAAGTGGAGCTTACCAATGGAATGGGTGGCACACTGTAAAAAAGGATCCCAGCCCACCCGAGGCCCAGACCAGGGACGAATATAAGAAAAAAAAAAAAAAACATAAAATCATAAAAAAAACACACCCGCCAGACCAATAAATATAATTCCAGCCTCCGTCCACGAAACACGTTGAATCTTGATCTGTTGGAAAATGCATTCGTTTCTGGCCTTCCATGGTAGACGCCAAGACCAGACCCTTTGCCATCGCCGGCAGTAACGCGTTTTATTTTTTAAGGTGATGTGTGGTGTGAAAAACGCCGTATGATTTCGTCACTCCACAAAGAAAAACCCGTTTTCCAACTGATCTACGTGACGTATCTCTCCCCTGGTTCACAATTTCGATTAATAGTTTGTCCCTTTCGATGTGCATTTGCACCACAATTATTAACATACCGAAGCAGGCGGGCCGGGTTGGTTTGCTTTGGGGCACTTTGTGATTTCAAGAAGGTTAATGGGCAAGTCAGCAAGAGGACCATGAAAAACCAAGCAAGATGTGCTTCCTTAGTTACGGATAGTATTCACTTGAACAAAAACAATACTCCCGGAGTGCCTGTGTTGAAACTTGGCCTCGCGGGATGAAGGGCGCCATCGGTTGGGTGCCCGCGGCCCATTCGGTTGGGGCTGTCGGGCCTGGTTCTCCGAATTTCTCTGGACAGCACTCGTCGTTCCTATCTCCAGTTTCCGTTGGTCCTGGCGGACTCGGGTGCACATTCTGACATCAGCTCACTTCCTTCTTAATCACATAGCCCCTGTCGATTTTGGGGTACTTCAGATCGGTAGAATTCAAGGATCAATGTGATACCGATATTTATAACTTTCTCAAAATCAGAGAGCTCCGAACTGCGAGGCATATTGCATGCGACTAAAGCTGATGCTGTTTCCTACGCGATATATACAGGCGGAGTTCGTGACGTACCTTAGGACCGCAGATATCGTCATTTGCATAGGTGTCCAAATACTTATTGGTAGTCAGTGTATAGCTTTGTGCGTGGCTAATTGATATGAGTTGGCTGTATAATACTCGTATTAAAGAAATTAAATCTAGGTCATGCAGAGGTTATGTGGGTCATGTAAAGCAGCGGTCGTCAACCCTTAGAACTTCACGGACCACTACATATATAATTTTATATTTGGCGGAACACTAATATGAATAATAAAACCCCTTCAAATAAGATCTTGAATAAACAATGTATTAATACCCAAAAACAATATTCAACTTTCCAATACATGTCATTCTAATTTTCATTTGTTAATATAATTTTCGAAACATTTGGTGTTCTGAAGCACGCCTTTATGGAAATTCAGGCTACGCCCTTGATTATGAGTAAAAATTAAAATACTATTAACAAGTACAAAATTCTTATTCTTCTACAGAAAGCTTCACATTTCCATAGACTGAAAAGGAATTTCACGAAAAGCTAGAACAAACCGGCAAACGCAAAGCAATATCAATAAACTAAGTGTTCTGCTGCGAATTTTTAATTATTGCAAACATAATAATCATTGCTTACTCAGCAGTGGCGCCATCGGTCAACAGTTAGACAAAGCGAAAACTTCCAGTGATTGAATTATTGCAGGTGATTCTCATAAGAATCCATCAAGTTGCCTATTGACACGGAGAAAAACTCTTTTATTAACGGGTGCAATAGTAAATGCTTGTAATTCAAAAGGAAAGAGATTTCCAGTTCGCGCTATTATTTATAACAGCATCATATCCATGGATGCCAACTCTCACTTTCAATTGTTGCTAGATACACCTGCAAAAATAGCTAAAAAGTCGCTAAATTCAGAAGGAATTTCCCAAAAAGTAGTAGCTGAAACTTTAGAAAAAAGTATAATCCATATTCCATAATAGGTTTTGTCACTAGTCACTTTTTAAACTGAATCCTCATAAAAATATAAATAATGTCCCAATTTTTTTGCGGATCATCAAAACGTTTTCACGGACCACCGTTAGCGATCGCTCATGAAAAGCATTGCTCAGGATTGCTGGCATGAACGCAAGATTGTGAAACTTAAAATTTCATTCCATGATATTTTGACAGTGATAAAATAAGTCATTGGACACTGCTGCGACAAATAGGCTCAGAGCGAAGAATTTTTGCTTTGTAATTTAGTTCGTGACTGAGAAATGTATTATTGTCATAATTGGTACTGCCTTATAGCCACAGAAATAACATTTAAGTGATAATTGAAAATATATATTGTTGCGTGAGTGCGGACGGATTCGTAATAGATTGAATGCACACAGAATAATAGATAATAGGTTGATAACATTTATTTTTATCAAAAGAAACACATTACAATTCAGGAACCTTGCACAAAATTAATAGCACAGCTCTTCTCTGTATCAAAGAGTGCAATCAATAGTTACACTTCAAACTACTAAGAATGTTAAACACAACACATTAAAAGGAGGAGCTCTCACGGATATCGTAGTACTCCGATGATGTTTTGGTGTTTACATTCAGAGTGATATTTGAAAGGATCAAGCAAAATAAAACGTGTAACATTACATCATATTTTATTTTATTAAATAAAATAATCATTTCAGATGTTTGAAATGAAATGTATCTATCTGTATGTCGATTTTGAATTGGATCGTTTTTTCTTATGTAATTTTCTGATGATAAAATAATTTATTGGTTTTACCATTATTTTTCAAATGTATTTCTTAGTTATGGTTTTGTCTGGAGGTTATGCAATGAAATTGCTGGAAGTAATATGTTATTTTATCTTTTAAGATTCTCTAATATTGTATTCCCCTTTTAATTCTTTATTTTCTTG